CCGCCCCCGTACCCGTCCCTGCCTCCATCCTGCTTAATAATATAATTAAAAAATTATTTTTAAATATATATAAACCAAAATTATAAATATTTATATGTAAAAATTTATATTATTTTATTTATACTTATTTTTTAAAATTTGTTCTGAAAAAAAAAAATAGGACCAAGACCGGGGGCGGGGCGGGAAAACCCAAACCCCGCCAGGGACAGGAATGGGTACCAAATTTTACCTCCAGCGAGTATCGCGGGCAGGGGCGGTTTAAATTTATGGGAGCGAGGAACATAAAACTCGCCCCGTTGCCATGCCTAACAGCCTAAGTGTAGGAGACGTTTTCTTCATATTCTTTTGTATGCATAAAACGTTATGAATCACGACATTTTCTTTGATTTTTTTTTCATACATGGAACACGTCAAAGCCAATGGCGTTTTTTAAGTATACATGTGTTAAAAGTAATTTATTTCGGTAATTTTTTAAAAATAATTTATTTCAATAAATTTTATTTTATTTTCTATTTATTCTGGATATACAGCTTAATTCGAAATGTCTTTTGGGATTTTTGGTCAGTTTAAATAAATAAAAAATTAAAATTACAAAAATAAATTATTTAAATAACAATTTATTGAAATGAATAATTTTTGTCAGGGGAATGTAGCAAAGAATGGGTTGTAAAATGTGTTGGTGTAGTTTTTTTTTTTTTTTTTTTTTTTCCTTTTTCATTACACACAAAACACTCACTCCTAGTCGTTTTGTGTTGTTTTTTAAATTAAAAAAAAAGTTCGATGTACAGCTTTTCAACACAAAATGTCCGAGGCTAGTGATATTTTGTTTATACAGTTGTTAAGGTGACAAAAATTATTCATTCATAATTTTTTTTGGTAATTTTAATTTTTTATTTATTCAAACAGGCCAAAAAGCCATGCTTTTGATAGCCAGTAGGTTGTTGTGTTGTACTTGTACAATAGAAAAGTAGGGTCAAACTTGGGCACATAGTTGTCATCTTGTGACACTCAATCACGAAAGAGATACTCCAAAATCATAAGAACTGTGAACTGGAAAAAACAATGGAGTAACACATGTTAGACATGAGTATCATTTTACTGACGAATCTTATATTTACAGGTATGATGATTTATTTATTACAATTTTAAAATCTCAAAACAAACAAATCATACGTTAAAAATAGTAAATTATATTTAAATAAAATATACTTTATTGAAAACAATGAATAATTTGATAATATGTTAAATAATTGATTAATAATAGGTTGTTACGATTATGAAACCACATTTCACTTATGTTTTTACTTTTAAATCTGCACTATTATATAAAGAGACGTCTCTTATTGATAACTCTCTTTTAGTTTTCATTTTAATATTTTTTTTGTTTTTTTTATTTATATACTTTTTTAATTTACTCTAGAACTAATTAACTACTCATAAGAATAGTAATTTTTTTTCTTTTAATGCAGGAAAAAGAGAAGAGAATATGATAATTTTTCATTTATTTTATTTTTCACTATAGACACAAAGTACTTTTTCATCTAGAAGTATTTTATAAAAAACAGTTGGTGTAATTGAACATTTTCATTGATTGTAATTTTTCAATACAGAAAATAATGTAATTCATGGTACTTATATAAATGTAAAAAAAATAGGAAATATATTGAGAAAAAAAATACAAAGAATAGTATATAAAATATTTATTGTTTAAAATTATAAGAACAGTATTAAAAAATAAGGAAAATATAAAGTAAGAGGAGAAACGTATTGTGTTTGTGTGTAATGTGCAGTGATAGTGGAAGATGACGCCAAATATTCCAGCTGCAAAACATGTCTAACGTGGTAATATTTTGTCAAATTTTCTCCATACTCCACCCTTTTTTGCTCGGTCAAATGTCCATTTATGCTACTGCGTCCTTTTCTGTTAAAATAACAATGCACTTTATCCAGGTCCGGTTACCTACCCTATACCATGCCATATACTTCTCTTATTCTCTACACGACTCTCACTCTCTCTCATGCATATATATTCCAAACTAAATAAAAATAAATAGTTTTCATAATTTCAGTAGTTCAATGTAACCTGTGTCAAAATTTCAACTCAAATTTAAAGCATTCAATCTTTTCGAAAATTTCCATTTTCTACAACTCATTTTGGTTTTCACATTTTTTATCTTTTGATTTTGCCCTTTTAATTTCTCAAATGTAACTGCACATCATAGTTACTCCACTTTTCCATCTTCTATCCAAACTCAATTTGGTTTTTTCATACTATATTATTTTTTAACTGATCTCTGAATCGTCAACTAAAATTACCCAATACTCACTACTTTCTTATATATAAACTCCTATGTCAAATTTACTATATTAAACTTTATATATATATATATATTCTAAAAGAAATAAGATACATATAATGATATCTTAGTTCTTTATAACATAGAAGTAGAAGATTGTGAACTTTTCAATTGATTGAAGCATCGGAGATCAAAAATTGTTTATTTACTTTTTACTAATATACAAGTTATGCAAATTAATTAAAGTCAAGTTTTATATTTTAAATGAACTAATTAAACACATGCTTCAGATTACTTATTCAGCTAAGGAAATAAAACAACACCTTCGGTAGTTGTTTTTCTCCCCTTTTGCAAACCATATCTTTTTAAACGCTCAAACACGAAGTCATAGATTAGGCGCATTAACGACAACTTCTGAACCGTCACTGATCTGTTTGAAAGCACATTTAGTTTCTAGTAATAATAATAATAATAATAATAATAATAATAATAATAATAATAATAATAAAGTTAAACAAAACTCATTGTTTCAACTAAGGTTATGCATAACATAGAGTATCAAATATACCACAAAAGTATGCATATATAATTGACGTTAAGCATACGATGTCCTCGTACCTAATGATAGTATTGCAAAGTGAAAACATGAGTGTTCTCGTTCGGTTTACATGTTGAAAGATTAATAACTACAATAATAATGAAATGTCATTAGAGACTGAAATGTAGAATCAAGAGCTCAAAAATGATTGCTAAGAGTGGTCTCTATAAATGTGGACATGAAGCACTGTATCTACTTTGTTGATTAACTCAAAGACGCAAATATCTCCAGCTCCGACCTTGCTTGCATTCACAAATTGGCTCCAACCCTTAGACAACTTTGTCCGAACCGTACCGATCAAGTGTACTGGCCATAATTTGTTTCCAAATTGTAAGGTCACAACCTGCTTGTTCTTCACGTATTTTTTCATGAAGGAAACTGGTACACGCTGCAACAAATTATAATTTCATCACCGCAAGATGTATCAGAGCCAAACTATCTATAATAAATAATTATAGCATGATTACATAGGGAGACTAATGGCAGTGCTTCATAACTAAGCCTTACCGGTCTGAAATCCTTTTCATCATTTGCTCTTATATTGACTATGAAAAACGGGTTTTCTGAGGAGAACTTCCTAGCTTCTTGCATAGCTGCATTTGTGAATACAACAAAACCGCATGGTTTTAGGATGAACACTACACAATTTAGAAATACCTACATTTGCATTTTTACTTATTCAACTTTAGCTTCCCTTAGGGAATAGTATATAATAAAATACTAATTACCAATTGGTCACAAGGCACTAATGTCTATGATTTACTTTGATACAATATATCTTTCTATAACTATTATTTCTTTCTAATATGTTAAAAAGAAAAATGCTAAACTGTACGAAAACTTATAAAAGCATTTAGAGGATGTTATACAAGCATTTAAAGTTATTCTTTACCTTTGATAGGGATGTCAGTTACACATTTCAAATCTGGGATCCTCCCAGAGTCTCCATTTCCTTGAACCGATTCAAATGAAGAAAAAAAAAATCATTACTTTGCACAAACAAATAATAATATAGTAGTTTAAAACTAAGACCAACTGTTATTACCTGATAAATGTGTTTCTTCTGAAATCCGAATGATTGTTACTTCAAAGCAGTGGCCTTGACTCTTGGTGAGCCCAAAAGCACAAACATCCCCCTCCTTCAAATGATTATCCGAGGCAAACTTATTCCATCCAGCGCAAAATCTGCCATTCCTAAAATTAACAGTCCAAGTTCTCCCATCCAAGACCCGAAGCAGGATATCATCACTTCGCTTTTCTTTTAAATACTTTTTTACAAATTTCGATGGAATGACCTAAGTGTTTTTTGCACAAGAGTTAGAAAATCTAAACAGTAATATGTTGTATTGTTGCTTCAAACAAAACATACCAAACTATCTTAATGGATAGAAATGAAGCCTATATCAAAAGCTCACCACGGAATGTCCGTTCACATAGGAAGCCTTCAAGACAATAAAAAAAGAGGGAGCTTTAGATCTAGAGGTTTCAACAACTTTAGAAGTCACCTGCTCTACTTTTACGCTTTTAGTGGCACCACCCCTATCCTCTGAAACATTGAACAACATGGTATGCAGTGAAAAGTTGACCCTAAAAAGACAACGAATTCTTGAAAAGAAAAGGATATAATCTAAACACGAAATACACAGTACAATGTATCTAATACTTCTTTGTGAGTTGACATACAAAATTAGTACCTTGAGAATGTTCAACTTTAGTTTCAACATGCTCCGGCAAATTGGAGCTTTGTCCAACAACTCCACTTGAGCGTGTCCTCAATTTTTTACGAGGTTGAGGACTTAGAGTCACCTCGTCCAAATCTTCAACAGGCTGGTTGTTGCTAATGTGCTCAACGCTATCATTTTCATTCTGAGTACCATTTAATGGGTAATCAATTTCAAGGGCACTCTCATCTAATATGCGTACCTCCAAATGACATGTTTCTTGGTATTTAAACAACACCAAATGTCCATGGCTTAGGGAGTAATAGGTTGCAAATTCCTTCCAACCCTTTTGAAGCCAAATACCACCGTCATCATGTTTTTTCCAATATACTTCCCATTTAATGTCATCTGGAGCCCTAAGAAACACTGGGTTTGACAGATTACCGCCATATTTTTTAGTGAACTTGTTTGGAATTTTCTGCAAAGAATCTTTTTGTTAGTTATGTAACATGTTGAATATATTTTCAACTTATGCATGTGAAATTAAAAAATAACTAATAATTACTTCATTTCATTGGAACAAATAAAGGAAAAATAATATTAAAATGCATTGGATTTATATATTTTATTTGTAAAAATTTTGTATATAAAAAAAGAGACATGGAGAAATGATCACTAAAATGGAAAATTAATGCTAACGTTTTCGAAACGGTTTTACGTGCAATTTGTAATAAACAAAAAGTATTAGACCATGATAGTAATTTCTGTGTTTGGCACTGCATTTTTTTTCTTAACAAACAACATGGGGTAGGGACAATATGGAACGACGGCAGGCATTACTTTGACATGCACTATACTGTTCGGTTGTATAGATATTAAATTCTCATGTCGTAAATTTTCCATGTATGTTAAAGTCTCCGAAGCTGAAATCATCAATCTTGCAAAATCCAACAAAAATGAAAATGCGCAACGCATAAGTTGAGAAAGAGGAGATGAAAGCTTACAAGTTTTCCATGTTGAAGAGTTGCATCGAGAATAATCTTAAAGAAGAGGATTCCGGAGGGAAGATGACGGTTAGAAGTCATGGCTGTTGGATATTCTTCTATCCCTCTCGTGGTGCAAGTGAGGAGCTAGCTAGCAATAGTGAGTGAGAATGAGAAGAAAGCTGAGAGAAAGGAAACACGGTGAAAAAAAAAAAAAAAAAAAAAAAAAACCCC